CTGGTGTCTGCAACGCACGGCGAACATGAAGTAGTCCAGGACACTCTGACGCACGCTGGGCAGTTGGTGCTGTACCAGTGTCTCCTCCAGGAAGAAGCGGACCAGCGGTGCCTGGTAGTGCTCTAAGCCCAGCTCTCCCAGCGACTTGAGGATGCGTGTAATGCGCAGGTTGTTGTGCCTGTGACTGTTGAGGTTCTGGAAGCGTGGCTGGAAGTTCTGTGCACGGCAGACGGCACCGGTGTCCCGGTCCTCAAGTTGGATCCCATAGAAGCCCAGCATGAGTTCATAGGCCCGGACCAGACGCTCTTTGACCTCCTGGGAGCTTTTAAATGCCTCCACCTCCTTGAGTGTGAGGGGCTTGGCATGCCGGTTCACTCCTGGTTCCCTCAGAGGAAACAGCCACTGGATATAGGAGTGATTCTCTTCAAGGACGACATAGTTGTCTTTCCAGTTGTGAAGAATTTCCTCAATGTAGAGACCATTTGGCTGGAAGCAGATCTCATTTTTGTAGAAGCGCAGGTTAGACATGTCGCCGTTGCAGTCTTGATCTGCCAAATCCGGGTAGTGGTGCCGATACCTTCGCATGTCCTGCATAGCTCGCCAGTTTCGGGACCGGGTCATCGTGGACTGGAACACGCCTGGCCGTGGCTCCTTTGCGTTGCTGTGCTTGCTGCCCTTGTCCTCATGGCCTTTATCATCCGCCTGGCCGTCTTCACAGCCTTCCTTGCTCTCGTCCTCCCAGGTGGAATCGTAGTCCGGGTCATCCATTCTCAAGAGGCAGGACCGGCTTTCCATGGAAAGGAAAGTGAAAGAGAGGAGTACTTGTCTGTAAAAATGGAAAACACGTTGAAAGCCTGTTAGTAACATGTCTACACTGTGCATGCATTCGGACAGTAACCTGACAAAGGACATTTGTGGAAGTAAGAAAACAAATGTGTGGACCATGGAAATTAATTAAACTCAGTTTCTCAGGCTTAGTGAAAAAGGCTTTGACTCTGCCATCTCCTAATCTTCAGAGCCCTTGATTCTAAGGATTCTGTCTGGAGGAAGAGCACAGACTGACGCCAGGTTTCTGTATCACCGGCTGGTCTCAAACTCATTGAATGACTAAGGATAACCATGAATTTCTGATCCCCATCTCACACATGCTGACATAAGAGACCCAGATCCCTTGAGTGTATATTTTTCATCCCTTTCAGAAATGAGTACCTCTTGTGGACATTGTGTCTTAAAAGGATAATTATGTTGCATTCTTTCTGGCCATTTTATCCCCATTCTTTGACTATTTGGAAGACCCTAGTCCTAGTTTTTTGTCTGCTCTTGTTATAATCCTGGGACAGGAGAGTAACTCTGTTTTGAAGTTGGCCCAATTGTTTCTCTATTGAAATCTTTTTAAGCCACATTGGTAATCAGTGTTGCAGGCCACTTATGAAATAATGAGTGTTACAGACTAGCCAAGACTACACTGAGAAACCCTGTCTCATAAAACAAACAATAAAAGTAAATAAGATTTAACTGGCAGGACAGAAAGGGAGTAGGGAGAAGATGAGGGATCAGGAAGGTTGAG